TATTTTTCAACAGTTTTCACCACCGAAAATTTAAACATGATACCCGAGGCACCGACTCTATTCAGAGATAGTGAAGAACAAATTAAGTGAGATAGTAGTGACTAGTAACGATGTTAGTAAGCAAATAGACAAACTAAAGCCTAATAAGTCACCTGGTCCCGATGAGATATTTGCCAGAGTATTAAAGGAATGTAAGGAAGAGCTTAGTATGCCCTTAGCAAAGTTGTTTAACATGTCATTAAAAATAGGTGTAGTACCAGAATCCTGGAGGATAGCGAATGTAATACCGATTTTCAAGAAGGGGGATAGATCACTAGGGTGTGTCATAGGAGGGAAGATCAGCTAAAACTAATGGCCCATCACTTTTTTGGTAGATTTTAGTGTATATAAACAGAAAATAATTTCAGTTTCAATATTTTGCAACCTTTTGCTAGGTAAATTTTAGCGTGAAATTTATCGAAAATCTAACGTACAGCTGCATTAGTGCATTACAATTAAATAGTGAACATTGCTTTCTGACTTCATTCTTTAACCCAACTAACAATATTTTTTTCTGTTTCAGATTCTGATGCATTTATAAGTTGATAATATTTGCGATGGCTGCTTGTGTCAGGACGAGGAACCAAAATCCAGCCATCTCAGTCACTATCTTGGGTCTGGGAGAGAGCTCCTGAAGTCGGAGTTGCCTACATTGAGAGATGCTTTGAGATACGGTGTTTTAATCAGGCAAATCAGTGAAAAGAACCAAAGAACTTACACAAACAAAGACATTGCCAGTGATATGACCAAAGCTGTCTTGGCACAGTACACTCTGGCTAACGCTCAGTTCAAGCCTCCAGTCATAACAAGTCAGAAGAAGATTAGTGAGAGACTGCTAGCCAGTTGGGAAAAGGCAAGAGATATCTCTCTTGGGAGAGGAAAACTTGCAGTTAAGGACAGCTTTGCCAAGCAACTGGACCAGTTATTTGACATAATTACTTGCAAGTGCCCAATTGTTCTCTGTCCTGAGTTTGGATGCGATCGTGACTGTAAATGAGGCCCACATCTCCTGTATTTGCAAGCGTGAACTGAAGATTCCTGTGATCGAACTGGCATTTGTCAAAGCAGAGAGAGAAGACTGGCAGTATAGGGGCTCTCATGATTTCTAGCCAAGATATTCCGGAGTCCAAGAGACAGGAGGCTGCCACAGAGACAGAAGGAGAAGAGTTGCCGAGGAAAAGACTTGAGAAGGCCCAGGGTGAGGTAAAAAGGCCGATGATTGGAGTCAAGCTGATTCAGAGTTTAATGACTTCCCATGGCTGATCCGAGTGCTGACCAGGAGAATGGTGACTTTGTCCCTAACCCAGAAAATAATGATCCCAAACCTTCCAGGCATAAGATTCGAAATAGGAAAGATATCGAGCATAGCTCTGGCCAGCATGCGACACCACACTGGTCTCAGAGAAACTGCAGAGATAGCAACAGCTGCCTGGATTGACGGTGGTTTGATAACACCTGATGATGTTCACCTGGTGATAGATCATAACAAAGTAAGGAGAGCTCAGGAGAAACTTGTCAGTAACCTAGAAGAGGAGTTTGATAAGGGGATAAGAGAAAATGGAATCAATTGTTTATTCTTTGATGGGAGAAGGGATGACACTAAAGTGTTCATGAAAGTTGGAGATTCTGACAAGTTGTTCTCTGCCATGGTGAAGGAGGAACACTACTCCTGCTGCAGTGAACCAGGAGGGAAGTATTTGTGGCATTTCACTCAAGAGAAAGATGACATCAGGAAACCAGCTGAGATAGTGGCAGATAACATTGTGAACTGGCTCAGAGAGAGGAACGTAGACCAGACCCTGCAGGCCATTGGAGGGAACAGCACCAACACGAACACAGGGTGGCAAGGGGGGGTCATACAGTGGATAGAGCGGAAGATTGGGAGGAAGCTGGGCTGGATTGTTTGTGACCTCCACACCAACGAGTTGCCACTCAGACATCTGGTCCAGGAGCTGGATGGCAAGACTCTTTCAAACAACAGATGGTCTGGTCCTCTTGGCAAGATGCTGGACTCTGCCACTGAGTTAGAAATAAATCCGAGCTTTGAAAAAATCACAGTTGGCCCTCCACTCGTTGAGCTTGCACATACTGTCATTGACGACCTGAGTACTGACCAGTACTATGGTTACATGATTTGCAGTGCCATCAAAACTGGGGTCATGCCTGATAGACTTGCTTACCTGCAGATAGGTCCAGTCTCACATTCTAGGTGGCTCAGCGGCTCTCAGGTTCTGCAGAATTGGGTCGCTCATCATAAACTGAAGGAACCAGCTTCACAACCTGAGACTTATTGTCCAATTCATCGTGAGTGTCTACTTGCCAAATTGGTTCAACACCAAGGTCAAGTCATCGTTCTCCGAAGGTCCGAGGCATGTTCTCTTCCAGCTTGAGCTCCTGAGGAGTCAGCCAAGGAAGGTTGTTCAGATTGTGGAGCAGACTGTGAGGAGATCTTCCTGGTATGCTCATCCCGGGCAGTTCTGCAGACAATGCTCTGCAGTAAGGATGAGGAGGAGAGAAGAGTGGCAGTCAAAAGATCTTGGATATGAGACTTATGAGAGGATCTGGGCATGACGAATCAGTTGGTGACGATTCCTTCAGGGTCAGGAAGACTCCTGAAGTCAATCTAGGTGCCAAGACCCTCACTGATCTCATAGATCTGGATAACATCCAGGCTGGCAGTGCCCCTCTTACCTGCAGCCTCACCAATGTTCAAGTCAGAGCTTTCCTGGACAACCCCATGCATGTCCCTGCCTGGCCCTCGCACAGAGTATAGAGCGTTGTGTACAGCAAGTGAGCGAGGCCAGCAGTCACGTGTACAGCCAGGAGAGGAGGGAAGGCTACATCCGAGCTCAGGTGGTCAGCAGGGAGGTGATGAGTAGAAACAGAAGCAAGAAAGACATGTTCTCTATGGTGTGCAGCAACACCGGGTCGTAGTAGTAAAACCGGTTTTGTATTTGATGATTTTGTTTTCTAAAGGAATATTAAATTTAATAAATGTGTCAAGATCATTCGCTTCACTATTCTGGATCATTTTCATCCTAATAAATTAACCTGATACATTTACTTTACTTTAAATAAGCTATTTAGTGGTGTTGGTAAAAGGGTGGGAATACTGAATTTTCATAAGATTTCAAGTTAAAATTTACCTAGCAAAAAATGAAAACTTTTCAAATCTGAAGATATCACATGATTCTGCACATAGAACTACATCATTAATACCATGGGCCGATTTTTCAAACTAAAAAAAAAAAAATTCGCCTCCGTATGACACACCCTAATAGATCACTATCCTCTAACTACCGCCCAATCAGCCTAACATCAATAGTAGGCAAATTACTGGAAGCAATCATTTCAAACTCTATTCGAAATCACCTGGAGAAGCACCGATTGATCAATGATTCCCAGCATGGCTTCACAAGCGGACGTTCTTGCCTAACTAATCTATTAACATTCTTTTCATCAGTTTTCGAATCGGTGGACGAGGGGCACAATTATGATGTGGTATATCTCGACTTTAGCAAAGCCTTCGACAGAGTCCCCACGAAAGACTAATTAGAAAGGTAGAAGCATGGCATCAAAGGTGATATCCTTAAATGGATTAGGGCGTGGTTACAGGACAGGAAACAGCGAGTGAGCATTAACGGCACTAAGTCCCATTGGAGCAACGTCACAAGTGGAGTTCCCCAAGGCTCAGTACTTGGACCATTATTATTTATTATATACATAAACGACATAGATATCGGCATAGACAGCAACATAAGTAAATTTGCTGATGACACTAAAATAGGACGTGTTATCAAATCTGACGAGGACTCGCAAAACTACAGGAAGATCTAAACAAATTTTTCGAATGGTCTGAAAAATGGCAGATGAAATTCAACGTCGACAAATGTAAAGTACTCAGTATAGGAGATGTAAACAGGAAACCAGATACCAGATGAACAACGATGCCATAGAGAAATCCGACTGCGAGAGAGATTTAGGAGTAATGATAAGTAGGAACCTTAAGCCAAGTAAACAATGTGTTTTTGCTCGTAACAAGGCTAATAAAGTACTTGGGTTCATACAAAGGAGTGTTAGTTACAAGACTAGCGAGGTCATCCTAAAACTGTATCTTGCTTGTGAGACCACACCTGGATTACGCAGTTCAGTTCTGGTCACCGTATTACAGAATGGATATAGAATCCTTGGAAAGAATTCAGGGGAGAATGACAAGACTAATCCCGAGCATTAGGAACCTTGAGTATAGAGACAGGTTAAAGCATCTTAATTTGCACTCCCTTGAGAGACGTAGAGCGAGGGGCGACCTGATAGAGGTGTATAAGTGGAAGGCAGGGCTAAACAAAGGGGACATTACAAAGGTACTCAAACTATCCAACCAGGAGCGAACTCCTAAAAATTGTTTTAAATTAGACAAATTTAGATTTAGGCGTGAAATAGGTAAACACTGGTTTGGGAACAGAGTAGTGGATGAATGAAACAAGTTACCAAATATCATCATTAACTCGAATACGCTGAATTGCTTCAAACATAGGTTGGATGCTCATATGAGCAATAGGGGTTGGGTGTAAACGGGACTGCCCAGTATGGGCCAAGAGGCCCGCTGCAGTTTCCTCCATTCTTATGTAATGTTGAATGGGCTCGACTAACTTTCAATAACTGCTACACCTCTTAAGGACACTGACCTACATGCAAAAACTTTTTCCAAAAATTCTTCAAGCAGCTTGGAGAAATATTATGAAAAATCCCCATATGTAAATATTAATAAATACTTAAAAAAAACTAAAAATACTTCAGTTAATTGACATAAAACACCTTTCGGTAGTTTCATAAACAAACCTGCAAGTTAATACGTTAACATTATATTTTTAAGTTCAGTACACAGCCATTTCCAATTTAACACTTCTAGGAACTTACTCGATACTTAATAGCACAAGTAATTGATAATGATCACAACATACCTGAATAGAAAACCCAGAAAGAGTAGCCTTTAAAAATCCGGCCCGGGCAACTCGACTTGCTGTCCCAGCCATCTTGGCGATGAAGCAATAATGAATGGCAAGAGTGACCAACAAATAGAGACATGCCTTTGGTATATAACCGGTATTATAATATTTCACATTAGTTTACAATAATAATGCATATCTATATATACAATAAATATATACATAACATTATTCTACTGAAAATTTGTACATGTAGTTAGATAGAATATACTAATTTTATCAGTTACCTTAGCCATGTACTGCCTTGTACCACTCTCAGCTGTTTAGTGACAAACCAACAAAGACTTTAGATACACAAATATAAATATATAACGATAGTGTTAGATCATTAAAGAGGAAAAATTAAATTTATGACTAAATATGAGTAAATTGTAGACTTTTATACGGATTTTATTATTTATGTTATAATTTTCTTTCAAAACTTTCCACTATTTGAGTAAAAAGTGCTATCTTTGAAATTATGTTGTTTTTAATAGTTAAATAGTTTTTTCTGATAATTTATTGTGATAATATCTATAACATATATGCGTATTTTACAGTTTCTAAAATTATTGGAACTTCCCGCCTGAAGGATTTCCTTTACAGACTTCGCAAACATTGAAAATCATTAAGACTCACTCTTTACACCATATATTACTTAAAATAAGTCTTGGTTAGAAAGTAAACTTGTTTATTTCTTAGGGCGCCGAAGGTCAAGAATCATATGATGCTCTCTAATAAATCCTTCCGGTGCTTGACCTGTGACGTCACGGACCGGTAACCTTCGTCGAACACAATGACTGAGAGATCGTTCAAATCGTAGCAAATATCGAGAGACATCGGTGTTAGAAATTGGCAAAAAGTGAACCTTAACTATGAGTGGTCCCATACCCTTCTTGGGCAGTAAAATTAGCCTTATATCAAAGTCTGAAATACGATATGAAGGCATTTTATACACCATCGACGCTCAGGAGTCGATTATCGCTCTGGCCAAGGGTAAGTTTTGTTTGTTTACAACCAGAGGCGGAAGTGGCTCCAGGAATAAACTTCATTAACTCTATGTGACCTCATTTATCACTGCCTCTCGTTTATGACCCGCTGTTCAGGGTCTAGGGATGAATTTTAATGAATTTTCTTGAATTTTCTTGGTTATATTTTGTCAGGTTTTGTGGTAGCTGAGTCGCACTTTCTTCAATGACGCATAACTCAAATAGCCTGGGAAAACACATCGGCACTTAAACAATTTTCTCTTTAATCATGTGTTTATACGCCATTTGCATCCTCCATAATTGTTATATCCCTTAGACCTATATTTTGTTAACTTTAGATTAGAGTTGGCTATATAAATCAAGTTAACTAGAGTATTGTTTACTAAATGATGGCAGTAAATGTGTTCCCCCATAACTAGGTCTGCTGTCTTGGGGTCTTTATAAATATTCCTATGTATTTATTTTCTCGAGAACTTTAAAGTACTAAAGCTTCTAAATGGTAACTTGTGTCATAATTTGGGAATATTTGATTCATGTAGACCTCCGTATATATGTAGGTCAGTTTGGAATATATTGTCCCTTCTGAAACCTTGTTAAACATATGGGAAGAATTATCCTTTATATTATAACCGCCATAGGAAATAAGTAACAATATGGTCACACTTTTGCAGTAAAATCCTCTAGCTGACAGGATAATGAGACCTAAATAAAGAGGATTCCTTTGGTTCTGTCTAAAAATAAAAATACAGTCTTGTTGTTCACGGATTGTAAAAATTCAGGAAGGTCTATCGTGAAAATAAACCCAAAATGAATGTACTGGGTGTCCTCACTATTTAGAAATTATGCAGAATGGAGTTAAAATTTAAACGAAAATATCTGCGGTCACTTGTGAAAATAAAAATTACTGTTCTGGCTGTATATGCTGTAGCTTTTTCTTGTTTCCTTTTCAATTGTGCTAATTTGCAGGTAATTATTTTGACAGCCATGTTTTAAATGAGGCAAACTTTATACTGTACCTAATCAAATGCACTATAGGTTTTCAAGCATTTTAGTCCTTTCAAAGTCATTTCTGTGATTAGTTGAATGCAGTAGAAATTTGAGTACCACAAAGGATTGAAGTCTTCGAACTTTTGTGCTTTCCTTGGAGCTCTATTATATACAATATGATAGTGTTGAAACTGTTGTTCATATTGTATTGTTCATGTGATGAATTCCAAATAAAATTAATCTAGGTTAGTTTAGTTGAATAATTATCTCTCCATTTATATGAACCACATTTTAAGTATTATTTTGAAACCTTTGTATTGTCCATTTACACTGATTTAACAGATGTCCAGTCTGCCTCATGATACACTAAGGAAGGTGTCATGGTGGTATTCTGGAAGAAGTCCAGGTAAACCAGTAACATTAGAAAGGATTTTTATTGAAGATAACTTTGGTAATAGTCTACAACATTTTTGGGTTAACCAGCTAGTTAATGAAACAATTATATTTAGTGGAGGAACTTTGTACAGGTATTTTGTTTGTTTTTCCTTAGGTTTCCCCTAACAATGCTCCTTGCCCATCCTACTTGAGGACACTGTTTACACTTAAACTGTTGACAAATGCTTCCCAGCAACAGAGTGACAATCAGTGCAGGATTAACCATGAGGCACTGGCCTCAGGCCCCCCGACTCTAAGGGACCCCCAAATCCAAACATTCTCGAAGTTGAAGCATATAAAACATGAACTTCGTTCAACGATGTCCTAGCAACGTCTCAATTTTGTCTCTTCTGAACATTGAATGTGTTATTTTGCAGAAGCTTAATATTGATGAAATCATTGATAAATTTTGGTATATTTTGTTCTTGCAAAATGCATCTAAGCTACCCAGCAGCATCCTATTCACACAAAAGAACACTTACAGCAAATTACATTGCAGGTATATAATTAATGACAAAATGAATCGACCAAACCTACCTATGTATCCGGAGATGGAAGTATTATTTTAGATTATGGAGGTTTGAATAGAAAGGTTGGTCACCGGGAAGCATTGTCACCAGGGCCGTATTTATATGATCTTTTGTGTGGATAGGATGCTGCTGGGTAGCTTAGATGTGTTTTGTCAAACTAATACAGTACAATACCAGGTATTTCAAAATTTCAAATACCTGTACGTACTTGTTCTTTTTTAGGATACCGCATTCTTGTCATAAGAATTAATTTGTCTGTACCAGATATTAGTTTTCTAATGATTATGAAACGGAACTGTGTTATGTTTACAAAACATTCCTGGTCACGTTGAAGCACTAGTGGTATTGTTAGGTGGTGCAGAGCATCTTTATCTACTGGAAAATCTATGAAAAAAACCTCCACATTTTTAATTTCTCCATCCAAACTGAGTTATTAAGCATAAGTTTTCTTCTGTAGAGGTTTTTTGCTGGGTAGCTGGTTAATCCAGCCATCTATAAGAGATTTGTTAACATACATTCTTACCTATAACAGATTCAAAAATAGGTGAAAAATATGCAGTTAACAATTGTTTTTCCCTGGTTATTGTAAATGAAACGGCTCCTTCCACCTGAGGACGCCATGTTTGTGCTTCGACTAGGTGGCAAATTGGGAAACCATTCCCAGCAGCTGACCAAATGCCTCCCAGTAACCTTTCTATGCCTTGCCAAATCTAACGTAAATTTACTTGGCTACTATACTACTATACCTAACCTAAAATAATATTGTACTTCCATCCTAGGGTGTACCTCCAACTCGGCCCATTTCCAACTCGGTCCATCTTAAAAAAAAAACTCGGTTCACCCAGTTTGCCAACTCTGCCCATCTTACATAACCAACTGGGTCCACACATTACTAACTCGGCCCACCTTGCACACTTCAAACAAGTAGCGGACTAGAGGTTCAGGAATGAGTTTGAGATTTGTTTTATGTTTCTTTTGGTTCACTGAAATACGAACAGTGTGAATGAGTGAATACCAGGATTCTGGTACTACACCCATTTTTAATGACATGTTATACATGTTTGCTAAGGGCATACTAAGCTCTCCCTTACATTCCTTTAATACTCTGGCAGATATCTCATTGGTACCTGGTGACTTATTAGGCTTTGGCTTGTATATTTGCTTACTAACATCACTACTATCTTGCTTAATCTAGTTTCTTCACTATCGATGTATATAGTCGGTACCTCGGCTATCATGTTTAAATTTTCATTGGTGAAAACTGTTGAAAAATATCTGTTCAGATTATTGCTCATTTATCTGTAATTATCAGTTATCTTGCTGGTATCTGACTATTGGTCCAATCTTAGTCTGCTTTTTAGTTTGATTACATTTGAAAGAATCCCTTGGGGGTTTGACTTTTCCTCCTTTGCTACCTTCAGTTCATTATTCTTCTTTGCTTTTTTATCTCGGTAACCCTACTGGCCATTACCTTATAATTATCTCGGAAGTAAAGCCTTCCTTTGGCCAATAATATTCTTTAAATAATTATTTATCCATTTGGGGTCATTGTTATTTGATCTGAGTTTTCTGTATGGTATGTTCTGCCTTTGAGCATTAAGTAACTCATATTTAAATAGTTGTGGAACTCTACCTCAGATTTCGTGATCAGGTCTTCCCCAACCGTCATATTTTGTGAGGTTATTTTGTCAGGTCATCAGGTAAAGTGAGGTCGCCCTCTGTGGGTACATGGTTGTGGAACTCGTCAACCTCAGATCTCGTGACTGTTTATCAGTAATGTTTGTACTTTTATGCTGCTTTTTATCATTGTACTTTTCTTCATGCATAGATTAATGGATAAACTTTTAAGTATTTTCTTGTGATTTCATTTAATGGCTACACATCACGTGGCTGTTTATCAGTAATGTTGTACTTTTATGCTGCTTTTTATCATTGTACTCTTGTACTTTTATCATTCATGCAAAAATATATATGTAAAATTTTACTTTTTAGCCCGAGTTTGTAACCCGAGATGGTCTGAGTTTGTAACCCGAGGTGGTCTGAGTTTGTAATCCGAGGTGGTCTGAGTTTGTAACCCGAGGTGGTCTGAGTTTGTAACCCGAGGTGGTCTGAGTTTGTAACCCGAGGTGGTCTGAGTTTGTAACCCGAGGTGGTCTGAGTTTTGTAACCGAGGTGGTCTGAGTTGTAACCTGGTCTGAGTTTGAGGTGGTCTGGAGTTTGCAACCCGGTGGTCTGGAGTTTGTAACCCGAGGTGGTCTGAGTTTGTAACCCCGAGGTGGTCTGAGTTTGTAAACCCGAGGTGGTCTGAGTTTGTAACCCCCTTGAGGTGGCTGAGTTTGTAACCCGAGGTGGTCTGAGTTTGTAACCCGAGGTGGTCTGAGTTTGTAAATCTGAGGTTGAGGTGTCTGAAACCCGAGGTGGTCTGAGTTTGTAACCCGAGGTGGTCTGGAGTTTGTAACCCGAGGTGGTCTGGAGTTTGGAGGTTTGTGGTCTTTTGTAACCCGAGGTGGTCTGAGTTTGTAACCCGAGGTGGTCTGGAGTTTGTAACCCGAGGTGGTCTGAGTTTGTAACCCGAGGTGGTCTGAGTTTGTAACCCGAGGTGGTCTGAGTTGTTGGTCTGAAATAACCCGAGGTGGTCTGAGTTTGTAACCCCGAGGTGGTCTGAGTTTGTAACCGTGGTCTGAGTTTGTAACCCGAGTGGTCTGAGTGGTGAGTTGTAACCCGAGGTGGTCTGAGTTTTAACCCGAGGTGGTCCGAGTTTTAACCCGAGGTGGTCCGAGTTTGTAACCCGAGGTGGTCCGAGTTTGTAACCCGAGGTGGTCCGAGTTTGTAACCCGAGGTGGTCCGAGTTTGTAACCCGAGGTGGTCCGAGTGGGATGTGGGTTGAGTTGGCAATGGGCCAAGTTGGACTGTATTCCATCCAAGGATAGGTTAAGTTGGTTGTGTAAACCGTCAATATGACATCACCTGGGGGTAATGTTGATATAGTTAAGTGTTCAGGTGGGGAAAAAAGCCCCCCCCCCCAAACTGTATTGAAAATCTTTCACCTGTTTTG